GGGTGAACCAATAAATTGACTATCTAAAACAGGGGTACTCAACCTTTTTCTATCAATGATTTTGATGTGAATTTTAATTTTATTTTATTATTATAACATTTAATATCATTTATATATGTGCCCATAATTATGAAAGTGGTCTGAATCATATATCTCTTTTTTCGATATATTTAAAGATTTATACTTGAACATTATATGAATTCTACACAATATTGAAATAACAAACATTACCTAACGATTCATTTTTGATAATATCGTGAAAATTACATTGAATTTATTTAGTTTATAATAATGTAGTGCGTAATAACTGATAAACTCATTTTTTTGTTAATTTTGACTTAGACCATTTTCATAATTATGGGCACATATTACGTAAGAATTTTTTAATAATTTTAAAATGGAGTATTAAAAATAATAATTCATAATATAAGAAATAATTTTTTATTCATTCTTAAAACAACGTTTATTATATATATTTATTTATTTATTTTTATTTATTTAATACGAGTTATTTGAGATAGTAAAATTTGTATTGATTTATCCTATAAAATATTTCTATTATACGACTATATCATTTCTGAATTCTAAGATAATGATTGATTACATTTTTATTGGCAATAATTATCAGCTGATTGGTAAAATAAAAATAAAAGTAAAAAAATGAAAGAAAATATTTTACGATCCGATTACAAATATAATAAATCGATTGAAAGTACTTAAAGTTGTAAAAAAAAAAAAAAAGAAAAGATGTAAATCGTATTCGATTATCGATAAAATAAATCTACGATTGATTAATATATAAATGATAATTTTAAAAATAACTTTATTCCATAGCTCTTCCTTAATAATCGATGATCATTTGAAAGTAATAAAAAAGAAAAAGAAAAAGAAGTAGAAGAAGAAATTCATTCGAAATAATTTCGCATGTGTTACACGTCGATAGAATGTTGACTTGCACTTTGTTAAAAAGCACGTGACCGAGCGAATGAACGATAAATAATTTCTAACCGGTTTATATTATTATATCGAAGTCTGAATTGCGTGCACGTGCTTACGTTATAATCTTTTATCATTGTCATTAATACTTCTATCATTACCAAAATTAAAATATTTCATTAAAATTCTTCTTTTTGCAAAAGATTAAATTCTTTTTTAATTAAAATTGTATTTTAGAAAAATATTATTTTATCAATTTGACTAAAACAAAATTTGTACTTATTTATATATATATATATATAATATAAATTATATAATTTAGTTTAAAAATTATAAAAATAAAATAAAAAAATAAATAATATAAAATAAAATAAATATAAAATTTATAAAATAATTTTTTATCTTATGAATGTTGTAAAATTTAATTTTTTAACATTTATATATTAATATTATTATTATATATTTAAATTTAGTTTTTTATAAATATACATATATTATTTTTTTATATTATAAATATAATTTATATTAATATTTTTATATTAATTTTATTATATATATATATATTTATTGTATTTTTTTTAAATTATAAATATAATTTATATTAATATTTTTATATTAATTTTATTATATATATATATATTTATTGTATTTTTTTTAAATTATAAATATAATTTATATTAACATTTTTATATTAATTTTTCTACATATTTTTTTATATTTTATTTTATTTCATAAAAATATAATAAAATTGAAACATATGTATAAATGATATTGAAATGAATTTGTTTCCTATAAAAAATTTTCCATTACATACTTTATCTCTTCATACATATACATATATATATATATATATCTATATATTTACATATATAGATATATGTATTTATTTATTGCATCTATATATCTCATATGCCTATTCATAATAATTACGCAATTAATCATTTTTTATCACATTTCCAAGGATTTGTGAGAAAGAATATATTCTTTTTTATGGTTAAATCTTTATCTCTTACTTGAAATTTTTATTCTATATTAGAAAAAACAAAATATCTATGCTAACACATAATAATATTTATCTACAAATACGATTTTAACATTATATAATTTTTCTTTTATTTTTTTTTATCTCATTTCTATCACTCTTTTTATTTTTAAATTTATGAGATAAAAAATAATTAACCATGATTATTATATATATACATATATTAGAGTGGGTCAAAAAAATGACTTTTTTTTTTTTCAAGTGCCACGGAAAAATGGGTTGCTAGACACCTTAAAACAATTCTCACCAAATATGAGCT